TGCCAGAAATTCTTTTGGTATGTTTGACCCTAATGGTACTGCTGTTGTTTTTGAATTTTAAAATCGCAATTAATTCCCAACTATTTAAAGATGCGTTACAGTCCGATCTGCGCATGTGCACAAAGGAGCCCTCTTTTTATTATACAAACAGTTTATTTAGGTTTTAATTTCATTTTATGGTCTTGCAAAGCTTAATTGTTGTGTCTTGATAATTTATTATACTCTAGAATCATAAAAATATAAATAGTTGTCGAATAAAATTCAATATACCGACATGTAAACAAAGCCTTTGTTTACATACGGACTGTACCGCATCTTTAAACGTTTATTTCCAGCTTTAAGGCAGCACTTCACTTGCGGTAGTAATTACTAGTTTAGTTATAAATTTGTAAAGGAAATCTGACAGTCAATCGCTTTCGATAAAGCCTTGACCCACCTTGACCTTGTTATTACCGTCGCTTGCAACTAACGATGAACGGTTACTCATAAAAACATTGCCTATTCGCGCGAGAATCTTAAAGACCATGTAAAGTCCGTTATTCTGCGCATACGTTCTGCGTAGGCTTACATGTCAACGGTCGGGACCCGACCGTTGGAATGTTATTAATATTTCGTATCTTTTGAACTTTCTTGAATTGAATCTCTAGCCTGTATTCATTTACAAAGCATAGCGAACCAGAAGAGTGTTAAAAATTCAGAATAATATATATCTAACTGATATTTTACAACTGTAGCACTGAGTTCAAAATGTAAACAAAGCGTTTGTTTACATTACGGACTTTACATGGTCTTTTGGTCATTTTCTTTAATATTCTGACATAATAGCTATTTTTCAATAAATATATTGATATTAAACTTTTTGAATCAATATTTTAAGTTTCAAACCAGTTGTACCAAAGGTTATAAGCGCTATAGCGCATCATATTCAGGGCGTAAATGTGGTGTGTGGTGGTTCACCCCCCCCCAGAGAAATGATCCAGTCGGTCTCAAACTAAGTGCAGTCGGTCTCAAAATTATGCGTTTGTTTACATGCAGTGCTTTGTGAAGCAAATGAAATATTTTCGCAACTCGAGATAGACTCAAACTATTGAGTATTGAGTTGGAAATTTGCTCAAACGGATCAAACAGCTCAGAAATAATATGAAGAAATATTACGTACTTATTTCGCGAGTATATGAACGAATTATCAGTCAAAACACGCGCAAAGGGATGAAGTTTCCATTTACTTTCCAAACATGGGTATCTATATGTCACGATTACGTGTTGGCACTTTTATTTGGAATTTAGGTTCAGCAAGGTCATTCACGGGTGATATTCTATATTAGCGAAAATTTCAAACCCCCAAAATCAGACTCCAAAATGCGACGAATCTCGATCAAAATAGCTAACATTAATTACAATATTTCTCCGGTCCCTAAACTATATTTTTAAGATGCAAAGTGCAAAAACAGATTTCTAGCCGAGTTATATTAGGAAGTATGTTCACATGTAACACGATACGCATATGCATTTTGTTACCAAAGAGTTTTATGTGCCTACTGAATCAAGAAATTCGATCATTGAACGACGCACTGGTTTATCTGAAATCACGGAGCGAAAAATTGTTTCCACTGACTAGGCGATGTTTCCAATTGTTGCTTACAGTCAGGCCCATAACTAGGTATATGAGTCAATCGAATTCAAGTTCAATGACAGACTGTAGTTCTCTCCATGTAAAGAAGCATTATTCTTGCCCTACAGTGACGTAAGAAATGGGAGGCTGTGTGGGTGCACAAGTACCCCAATAACAAAAGTGCGGGCCAGCGCCCAAATATTACAACAATTGAGCACAAACACTTTTTTTTATGCACCTGATCAATGATGTTCGACCAAAAATATTTGTAATTCTTATCCTCAGGACTGGGGGCAAACTACAGTATAAAATTATAGTCATTGTGTCACTGTTTATGAAATTGATTTTTCATTTGAACTGCTCCCAGAATGCAGGAAATAGCGTTTCTAAGCCTTAGAAAATCAAAAATTTTCTGGGGGAGCATGCCCCCAGACCCCCCCTAAGAAGTGTCTCGGTCAATCAAAAATCCTATAGTTACGCGCCTGACAGTTCCTGTAACATCCGCATCAGCCGAGCGCAGCTTTTCATAGCTGAAATCAGTGAAAACTGTCATGCGTTCAGAAATAAACCAGGAACGCCTTGGTGAACTCTTGACTCTTGCGTGTGAGCGCAATCTAACAGACACGATCGATCTTGACGAAATCGCTAATCCGTGGTCAAACCTGACTAAGCAGTAAGCGCAGACACTTAATAAAAATATAACGTTTCACAGCAAACTGTACGTGTTCTTGCAAGATTCCTAATAAATGCCATCAATTTCCATGCTTTGTACTCGATTTATTGCAACACACCAAGAGTCGGTCTGGATTCGCATTTCAGTGTGGGTCGGTCTCATTTCGTGATTACACCCTCCCAGTCAAAATCGATATGTCCGCCCCTGATCATATTAAGGTTTCAGATGGCATACAACATGTACGCACTGCATCCTCACTCCTCACACGAGTGCTATGATGCAAAATGCCGCCAAAATTAGATATGAGTTTCGGGCTGTGAGCAGGCTAGTGACCTCCGTGTTGACAAAAACGTCGAGTGCTTGAGCTGACTATTGAGAGTGCATGAGAGATTGCAGTCACGCGACGTTGTCCAAGCTGGTGTTTGAATGCTTTCCCAACGCTATCATGTACTATATTTAAGTTGAAACATGATTGGAACGGTATCAAACTCAATCTAGAACATAAAATGTCCACTACAATAATGCATGACTGGCTCAGGCTGAGTGGCTGACTGCCAACTCTCGTCAACTCTCATCTTTTTTTGCCCGGGGATTAACACACGTCCTAAGTCCATCTAGAAAACCGGACTTTCGGCACTTTTTTTAGTTAACTTTACTGTTTAGACTTGCTACGAGTCGACTTGTATTATTTAGCTGCCGGGTTAAGCTCAAATTTCTTAAAGTGCGGATTTTGACCATGATGGGTTTTGTCGAGTCGACTTGTCATTCTTGCAGCGCACTATGAACGCCTGTTACGCAGGCTAGCAACGCGCCAAATGGTTAACGACTCGAACCATAGTCTGTGGGTGCGTATTGGTAATGCATTATGACGGTAGTTTGTGAGATTGTCCGTGTTTATTTATACGTTATTATATGCGTTTGAATTATAAATACTGTCATGTAATTTTTCGCGCCAAGGTTTATATGCACTGTTCCAGCTCGCCGCTCTTAATTAATTGTTCCCTCGCCGCTCAGGAGTTCAAGTTCGTCCATTCGTTTTATTCGCTCCCTCCTTCAAGGAGGGACTTTCAAAAAAAAGAAGAAAAAACCGTTTAATTAAACCGATGCCCTTCGACACACTTACCGGACCCTTACAGCAGATAACTTGTCGTGCTAAGATTTGATTGGCAGAGGAAGAGACATGGAGTCATGTTACTATACTCGATCATATGACTCGATGAAGCAGTCTCGGTGTGTAAACAAATCTTTATAGTATAGTGCAACCACGTGGTATCAGCAACCACAAAATCATAAATGTAAATCTGATGATCTTTTAACAATCCGTCACTCACTGGTTGGTGTAGCGTATTTAAGTAGCTGTAGGTTTTTACACGTATCATATTATATCGCTCATGGAAGACGTTGAAAATCATCCACAAGCCGGCGCTTGGGCTTCGGACAAATGCCGTAGGTTCAAAGCAAGACTAGGCCCTGTTCGATTGAACTTCAATCCCGTCGTGGCAATTGCGGCTGGCGTGCTAATATGGGGATTTTTAACATGGTGTATCACGGACCCAGAACGAACGTCGGATTACATGATCAGTGCAAAGAAATGGATTACCGCAAATTTCACTTGGTTTTACATTGGAGTTGTAAATATTTGGCTTGTCTTTCTACTTATGGTGTATTTCTCGGACGCTTGCGACAAGAAGCTAGGCAGGGATGACGAGGAACCGGAGTTTAGCGATGGAACGTATTTCACAATGCTCTTTGCGGCTGGCGTTGGGATTGGCCTCTTCTACTTTGGGGTTGCTGAGCCTGTTTGGCACTATGCACCAGGAAAAGCATACGGGAATCGCTTTTGGGGAAGGTAATGATTTATATTTTTCAGTCTAATAATATCTAGGCAATAGTATGGAATAATCGTTGTATATAGTCATTATTCATACAATAGAATTAAGCTTACACGTAAACAAGTAAAACCTGATGATTGTTATGCACTGTAGCTACGTATAAATCATGTCCAATACTTTCTGTGTGAACATTCATTGATACAACCGTGCTATGTACTTGCCCTGTTCGTGGACATAATCTAACTAACCTATATAACTCTGACTCGGTTTATGCCTTAGTTCGGGGCCTCAAGGCGTCGCATATGGAAACAAAATTACTTCACAAATGATCAGCTTTAGGGCACTATATACCAGAATGACCAGTATACTAACCAGTATAGCCAGTATAGTAGATAGTATATTATATAAATGTTTAAAGATTAAAGACTAACCAGTATAGCCAGTATAGTAGATAGTATATTATATAAATGTTGAAGACTTGAAGGGGTTTTGCACAGGTGGAAATTTCGAGTAAAAATTCAACTTCCTTCAACATTACTTCAAAATCCTTCAACATTAGTTCAATCGAAAGAAATGCCCCTGATATTTTCCTAGTAGACTGTATATATATGTATATATTGAAAAACCGGTTTAGTATGCCTATACCTTGTGTATAAATGGCACCTTGTATATGGCGTGACTCAATATTCAAGATACACTGTCCACATGTGATGTGGGCGACCGCAATGCTACCAAACCATAACAAATAAAACTACATGTAACAATGAATCCTGTGCCTTTCAGCACTTTTATAAGTTAAATTTGTTTTGATTTTTTCTGACTGCTCTTGTAGGGATCGGATGCATGTTATCAATCTCATATAAATATCATGTATCCAAATAATTAGTTCTGTCAACCTTGCTGTCCGCCTTTTTACTTTGCTAATCGCAAAATGCAATATTGGTAGTCTAGCGCGGCCGCTAAAAAGCGTTGCGACCTGAACGTTTAATTGGGAATAGCGCGCATTTGTCTTTGAAAGACTAGAGATATAAATTGCGCAACTCTTGATATACCGTGCGAAATAAAAGGGAGAGATTTATATACAGTCTATATAACCAAAATAAAAACATGCATGCAGTCAAATAAAAAAGTTGATGTTCCATGCATTCGCTAGATTTTTTTGCCAAGTTTAAAGTATAGCAATTCCATATATCTAGCAATTATTTAGTGGATTTATGTTCTTCCACATGAGAATGCAATTTCTAAGCTTAGTTAGCTTACCGGCTCATAAAAAAAAAGTTTAAGGGCGAAAGCAAATCCCCTAGCCTCCATGCGTAATGTTTTCGTTCCAGCAGGAGGATAACTGTATAATTAAATATGAAACATACTCCGAATAATATAGCATCTTCTTTCTCAAGATTTGAGGTATCTTCAAGAATACACGCGGATGTGCGGTAATAGTTCGATTGCACTGTAGGTTTCATGCACAATGACTTTCTAAATAGGATCGAAATATTGCTGCACATCCGCGTGTATTCTTGTATAGATACTTCAATTAATCTTGAAAGCACAAGATGCTATTATTCGAAGTTTTTTTTCATATCGTATTTCATATTGTTTTATATTTCATGACTGAAATCACTGACATATGCATGGTCTGAACTCCAAAATTCACGGGTATCAAAGCAATGATACCTTGAATGCGAGGTCAAGGTCTTACAGTGTATTTTGCCTTGCATGAGTTATACTTATTGCGTAATTAAAGATCGTAACTGCAGATCGTTATTATAGCTGTATACCTATGAGATAAGTACCTCGCGGTACGTTCGCAAGATTGTTTGCTTCTTGTTTATGTTATGTATTCTGTTCTTGATTTTTTATTAGTAAATCAGCTGAAGATTAAGTCTTCAAATGACTCTGTTTAAGAAAACATAAGATTAGAATGTTGATTACTCAACCGCAAAATTTCCTTCAAAATTGGTAAAACTAGCTTCCGTAGACGATTTCCTGATATGTATATAAGACGAGTGAACGGAGATAACTCTTGAGACGTCACTCAAAAACGTTCCCAACACTACGCAGATTCCAGTTTGTGGAAGGTGATATAATTACGGCTATGAAGACAGAATAATTCCTTAATAAAATTATGATAAATTGAGGCCAGGGCAAAACTAAAAAAATCTTTGTATATCTAAAAGCAGGCCGAGACTTCTATAATTCCAAAATTATATCCCTTACAAAATAACCCCCCAACTTTCCAAACTCTTGAGAATCTCATTCAAAACTGTATCTAAGAAAGTATGAGAAATCCCCCCACCCACTAAATCACTGCCACTAGTACTGGTGCAATTGTAGCTAGTGTAAAACAATCTCCAAATGTCGCCTATATATATAATCATATGTATATGTACCCATGCCTATCATATTGTACAATTATATAGCTGGTGTATAAATTCACGGGGTCAGATTTTACAGTTAATTCTGTAATAGATGCCACTTTATACCAAAACAAAGTTGATTGGTAATTGATCTCACAGTATAGAAACAGAACTTAAATGGTAAATATTAGATATTACTTTAATCCGGTATCATAGAAACAACGTAAATTTCGGATTCTGTTTTGTCTCCTTCTTTCAAACAAGAGAGCGCTATGCAAACGGAGGAAGATTATGATCTTTCAATATTTCAAGCTATCTTTATTCTTCAAACGATATGTAATGTGTCAGCCAGGGATTAACAAGCATTAAACCTGTGCCGCGCAGAGTAATTGTTTAAACAAAATATCAAGGCAGATTTTGTGGCTAGCGGGTTACTACAGAGTTTTTTTTAAAGAAAATTTGGAACTGCACGAACAAGAGACGTACGATATTTTTTGGAGTGATACGCCCGTTGGTGTGTATGGTAGACGGTAATTTTATTGCCTGGGGCAAGGATATTCAATAATCGTATATCTAACAATTGCAGGGAGAAAAACACATGAGCGCCTAGACTATTTTCTTTAATTTGTAACAATTATGGCATTACTCTCCTAACTATGCTAACTATGTTTTATCCTAACCCACCAAGTCAACATCCCTGTCAGAGAAGCGCCCGGAGAAAACCCACGATTGACCATCTTTTCACATGAGCACGTATTAGGACACTTGCTTGACAACTGTGAAAGGCCAATTGCATGCTCTGACGGATTTGTGCATATTTTAATAGCTGGCAGTGTTGCAAAAACGTCATTTTCTTGAAAATTGCATGGTCATTTTCTTCTTCTATTTTTCTTTTTATTGCGATATTTTTGTTTCAACTTTCTGCCAACGAGCAGAAAAATTCTGTTCACCTTGAAATCTTGAAATATTAGACAACCTACGTACGTCAATTCACAAGAGTCCAAGCGCATACTTAAATATCAATCCAGGTTTTTTAATTTGCAAAGCTGAACAAACAAACGTAGATTGTGTGAGAAGGTGAAGGTCATATTGCCGCAGCCAAGCACTCTTATTTCTTACGCAATCTTAACTTGCGGAATTCTCACGCGACTTTTTTCTGTGAATATTCATTGATCCAACATTGCAACCTTGCAATGTACTTGCCCTAACCTAACTCGAACTGTTTATGCCTTTGTTCTGCCTTTATAAGGTGTCGCACATGGAAAAAATATACTCCATTATATTAATTATCAGCTTTAGGATACTGAATACCAGAATGACCAGTATCCTAACCAGTATAACCAGTATAGCAGACACTACAATTATATACTGGCCTATTGAATTCCAAATACCTCGGCGAACTATATTTTTAGTGTGACCATGTGTATAGACTTTATAAATGTTGAGTTGAACAATTTTAATTTCATCACTTAATTAAAAAAATATTGCACAATTCTGCAGTTTGCCCCCGAGTTGCCTAAGGTAATGTAAATAATGTAACATTAGTTTACGATTGAGTCGGTTTTCTTTTATCTCATTATCTCCCGCAGTGACTAAAACGCGTATTTTCCATAGATATCTCAGGTATTTTCATGTGAATTTACTAGCCTCCTCCGCAGGCGGGTTTCCACACGGTGAAATTTTGTAAATATCGGTACAAATTGGGATAATATGTGTGTTTTGTGTGACATTATAAACTGTATATCCGGCTTGGCGACGTGACCTTCGTCGTAGTAAATTCCTAACCTCCTCCGCAGGCAACTCTGTTGGACCTGTTGGGTTCCCAAACGTAAAAATTTTGTTAAAAGGCGGAATAACGCAATGTTTATTATCTATCACCATATTTTGTTGCCAAGAAGTGAGTGGTAATAAGAGGGACAGCAAAAGGATTTAGAGCTGATGAGAGGGATTATTAGGGATTTGGAAGGATAAACTATGAGAGAGGAAAACTAGGGGAAGGAGAGTTCCTCTTTAGAATAGAATAGAATAGAATAAAACTTTATCAGTATCCACGCTTCCCTCATCATCCGAAGATGTTTTTCATGAGGGGCGTCACCACTGAGCTATAATATATCTGGAGGAAGTGCTCCTATCTCTCTTCAGTCAAGCAAGTGAAGCCAAAAACATGGCGGATTTCCAAGGATTTTCACGTTTGCTGACGCCAGAATGACGCCACTGGTCCCAAATCCTCGTGGTAATTACCACTGGCCAACCGCGATCCTCAGCTTCAGACGACAATTTCACCCCCCTGGTTTTTGAAAAAAGCCTGAAACTCTGCTGAAAGTTTATATAAAAAAACACATCAAGAAAAAATGCCGACTTTTTGCATGGCTTCATGATGCCACAATTCTTTATCAAGAAGAAACACTTCTTTTTACCGGTAAGATGTATTAAATGCTTCATTTGTACTAAATAAATACCGTTTTTTGCAAGAAAAATTGGATACGAAATTTACAAATATAACGACGCTGTACATCAGCTGGTATTTTTCTGCCTTTACTCACTTTTCTTTATGTTTTATTTTGCCATTTGGGTAGGTTATAGTTTTCGTTTTCCTCTGGAGTCCTTACCCAAAGATCCAACATCAATTTCACATACAGTATAGCAACAGAAATGCCTCAAAATGATGGACAAATGGCCTGTCAAGTCCCAACTTATCCTAGGGTTTAAATATATTGTCATAGGACTAGGAGGCCAAATATATGGTTGTAATGGGCACAAAACAGATCAAAACTGTTCCTAATAAGTGTTTCTGTAGGATTAAGTGTTGAATAAAAGCTTGCAAGGCTCACACTACAAATTTGAGTTGTGATTTTAATAGACAATTTTAATTTTTTTTCATGGCTAAGTGGCTATTAACAGTAGGAGGCCCAATACCTAGTTGTACAAGTAAAGTTTATAAGTTCATATATAAAAAGGCCAGCAAATAGTCATGAATTCCTCTTGACAAAAATGAATTATGGATAATACATAGAAATAGAAGTCAATGGGTGAATAAGGGATGCCTATTTCACAACACTCTAAATGACATATTTTAATATTTGAAAATTGAAAGGAAAAAATATGTTCAATAGCATGTTGACCAAATTATATAGATAATATAGTACATGACTGATTGGATGTATTCTATTACACTTTTCCAGATACGAAGAAAAATCCTGAGATGTGTAGAAAACTTGGAGAATGCCCTGCATGGTTAAATGTCATGCCATGCACAAAAGGGAATGACACCTTTGTTCGAAGCAATTAGTATATTCCACTTAACTCATTGAGCACCAGCACTCTCCCCTTCACAAATAAAATTGTCTGCCATTAGACAGAATATAATAATAAAGTAGGGTGCACTGGGGCACATTGCCACTTATCAAAGGCTTAACAAATACTGGTCAATCCATGGAGTGATAAAGCTCTCCCCATGCATTTACAAGTATATTTGTCTGGCATTTGACAGGAAAATTACATGGTGCATTGCCACTTATCAACTCTCTTGTTCCCTAGCTCAGAGGGCCCACGGCAACTCTCTTGTTCCCTAGCTCAGGGCATGGGGGGGGGGGCGGTTAGGTTACACTCACAATTAAATAATTGAAACAATTAGCTGGTTTGACATTTTAATTGATTATTGCAATATTTTCACACTGATATTGTAATTTGTTAATTTTATTTTTAATATGAAAATAATGTAGTCTAATAACTATGACCATAAATCAAAATACTGTTAATAAAATTGTATTTTATGTGGATGTAGTTAATTAAATATATTCATCGACAGTTTGTGACTTCTCTTTCCCAACATGTTGCACAATGCTGCTTTATTTCTGAAACAATATGTGAGAAATTAATATTACACTAAAACAACCAGATACCTTATATAATAATTGTTGTGGTTAGTGTCCGACACTGGGTCACAAGTACGTTTAATTGCTATTAATCCAACACAAAATTACACATGATTGTGTACACATAACATTCTTGCTAACAATAAGTTTACATGAACCTTGCCTGCACCCAACCTTAACTGGCCCTCATCCTAACTGGTAAGGCCACCTGTGTGCACAAAGCCGGTCAGTCAATGCTCTTGAAATTCCACTCATTTTCAAGAACCCAGGGCTTAAGCAGATATATGCTACCAACAAGGTGATAGCGTTGACAACGGTGCCCAGAGGACTTGCTTGTATTCATCTGAAATTTATTTTGTATTATTTCAGCATGTTGAAAGAATGAGGAAAATAGTTCAGACAAATAGTATGTAAATATTGGGGTTCAGTGTCAGGCAAAACAACCACTGTGTAAAATATTTCCTCCAAAAATGCATGATGAATTACTAACATAAAATATCATCAAGAATGTTTCATTTTCTTAACCCATTAAGCTGCAGAGCTTCCCCATTGACGAGTAAAATCCATAGGCGTACGGGGC